TACTCATACACGCATACACACGCGCATACATGCCCCTCTTGCTTTTGTCACCTTCAAAGAGCCAACCACTGATTAAAGGGTAGCAGTGTGTGTGGGAAAAGAAGGTTTCAGTGGTAGGGGTGAAAAGAGTAGATTAGACCATTACATTCGGAAGCCTGGTTAGTTAGCCTGTACAGGTGTGGTTTTTTCCAGTACAATGTGGGTCTGCTGGTGTATGGTAGCACTCAAGACCCAGAAACTACAATACAATTCTTTGGAAGAACTCATTAAGTGTTAAGCTATTTGCAGTCGTTTTTAAAAATGCAGGTCAATGAAGGCCCTAGGTCACAATGACGTGCCTCCCACAGGAACATCACGCAAGCCCAAGCTCAACTCCAAGAGCGTAGTGGTCCATAATGGGGGCTCCTGCACTGTCACAGTGCAAACAACAATGCTGCCCCTTAGGTAAGGATGGGTTTCAGCGTGAGCTTAGTGTGTTGCTGAGTGGAGATCTCATCTCAAGTCTTCCTAGATTTCTGACTTTGAAGAATTGGTGGGGGAACATAAAATATACATCCATCTCATAAGCTTCTTCAAAGTTGTCAATTCAGTAAAAAATACTGAGTATATAAATGACTATAATAGTACTTAGGCGAGAGCATAAACCTCACTGTGCCTTTTTATTGGGGAATTCGGGGGAAGAGGCGAGGAATTCTTTCACAGCCTAAATGCACTCGTTCGTGGTGCTTGGTGTCCTCAAGTGCCTCAGCATCCTGGCAGCTGTAAGTGACAGATCCACAACATGTGCAAGATAAGGAGAATGCCACAAGTATTACAAAACATGGCAAAGATACCTAGGAGCTCTGCAATCTATCAAACAAGCACGGCAAACAAACGGCATCTAATGGATAACGTATGGTATACAACACACAAGTTGCACAGTTATGTTTCCTTGCAAAATCAGGACTGCAAATGTAAACTCCAGAGTAAGTTTCAAGAGCAGCATTTGCCTTACTGCGTCACTTCTGGCAAAATCTGAAGTCCACCACCCCATGAGCACTGTATTTTCTGCTGTTACAAAAACCGATCTCACTGAACCAACTAGAATTAGCGGGCCCATGTCCTGCAACCCAAATGACTATGGCAGAGGTTACACAAAAATGCTCCAGCAATATAGTTTGGCTACCACTGTATATTCAGCCTTTACGTCGTCTGCGCCCTATAAACGTTGCTCTTGGAAAAGTAAAGCATACAGTGATATACAAATGGTATCAATAGCTGAAAAGATTACATGATCACGCCTGAAAGCAAATGGAAGTTAACAAAAGTAGTCTTTTAGGAGAGGTAGCCATATTAGACTCAGCATTCAAAAAAAGGGAGTGCACTCAAAGGGTCAACATACGTTATAGTCTCTTGGAGACCTGTCATGCTTTTGTTTTTCCTACATTTTTTTCTCAGAATGTACACATCCAGGCGCACACGCATACACACACACACACATATATATATATACACCCCAAACTTTTTTCCTAACTCTTCTTTGTTGCCATAACTTTGCCATACTGAGAACAAAGGCCAGCTTTCCTTTCATCCTCTCTTAGCTGTCCCACGGCTACAACTGTTGCAGTCAGTCTGTTCATTATCCATACAGGAGCTAAACAGGCAGTGGAAATTAAAACTGCTTCAATTTAATATCCTGTTCCAAAAGATGGCATCCAAACTATAAGGCATTCCCTCATTCTGATGCGAGTTACAACTCTCTTGGGTTTCTACTTCATAGAAACTGCAGCATGTTCTTCAGCCTTGTGCTACAAAGGTAGCTTTCACCCCAATAATAAAGACCAAAGCTAGAATTTAAACACTGGAAGTTCACACGCGTCTACCAGTCCCTTGTTCCTGTGCCCCTTTCCAACAACGCTTATCACTTTAATTTCAAAAGTCACGCACCAATATTATAAAATAGAAACCCAAACTACCAAGAAGTCTCTTGCTCATGACTTTGGGATATTGTATTAGTATAAAAGAGCATTCATTCATCTTAAATAAATATATTCTATTTCTGAAATCACAGCACATTCAAGGGGCAATGCTCTGCCATAAGCAGAACATTAAGTAATCTCCATAGATGTTTTTAGAATCATAGAATCATTAATGTTGGAAAAGACCTTTAAGATCATTGAGTTTTGATTAATTTGGTCTAGTATCTGGAAAATAACCTACTGTGGGGATAAGAATCTGCATCTCAAATGTTCTGCAGAACATTTTTCCCATATTTGTATACAGTACTAGAACAATTAAGAAGACATTACAGTAATTTTCTCCCAGCTGCTTAGATCTGTAGCTTCGGCTACGACAATGTATTTTGTATACCTCAAAACTACACATGGTATATCAACGATCACTAAATAAATAAAAGCCAAGGAAAACTGGGACAGTACTGCATTTTACACTTGAGACAAGATTCCCCCCTCCCATGGATAAGTCACAGAGGACAACTATGGTAAATGCTTTTCTTTTTTTTTTTTTTAAAGAAAGATTTATACACAGGTTCAGATCCAGAAAATAATGTGAAATGCATAAATATCGATAGCTTTAGCTACGTTAAAATGGGTTCAGTAAAGTATGATACAACATATTCAGAATAAACAAAGCAGAAAAGCATCATATTTTGGTTTGCTTGAGATATACATAAGGTGCAACAATTTCTTCTCTAGAGGCATTTGTGGACAATGTGTTAACGGGTAACAGTGTTTGCTGGTATACTGAAGTACACACAATAGCAGGAAGATTCTTCCAAAATGAAAGCAGCTGAAATTAATAAAAATTGAAACAAAACAAACAAGGAAAAAACCCAACCCCAATACAGTAAGATATTGGTCTGAAATTTTTGTTGTGCTAACAGACTTTGTTACCTGAAAATACTGATACCCCTTCTAGTAGATTCAGGGAAAATTCTAGCTACTGAAATCAAGACATCACTCAGAGAACCAACAAAGGCAAATGCCTAGTGAACTATAAAGCTTTGCAGGATTTCTGCTACTCTCAGTGCCTAATCGCTTAAAAATTAAGCATATCTACAAAAAGGTTTATAAGTATCTGAAAACAGTCATATCCAGTAAACTGACCCAACCCTACCCCCTCTTCTAAGGGAAAGTCAAGGAAAAGCAGATCAAGTAAGATATTAATTCATATAGAAAAAAGTAACTTTCTGTTTCTTTTAAAAAAGGTACCATTAATATACAGAAATATCTTCAGGAACAATATTGAAATTTAAATCGAGGAAGGATGGGGTGCTTTGACAAAAATATATCTACTCTAAAGGCTTCTAGAGAAATAAGTTAGTACCATTGTCAATGTGAACGGCCTGCACTGTAACATATTTGGATTCAGCTAATTATAAAGTGGTCCAAAACTCCAACAGCCACCTTGCTGTGACCCAACAGTTTAAAGTCTTTTATTTTTTTCCCGTCTCGTTAAAATAACTTATAAAACTTTAATAAAATCTTATTAAAAACACTGCCATGGGCTGCAATGGCATTCTAGGGGCTCTTAGTCATATATTCACCTGAATTTTTAAAAAGCCTTTTCACTGACTCATTGGCTCGTAAATTTTGTTGTTCTTTTGTTGTTGTTCCCTTCTTCCAACACATGCATCCTCAGTGGTGCTGCTTCAGTGACGCTTCCCCAGCTACCTGCCTTTTGTCAGACCTTTAATTCTTTGTTACTACTCGTGTAGTATGTTGTATATTGTTTCCCGACACTGAACCAAAGACTTTCACTTCAGTACAGCAATGAAAGGGTAAACCTAGCAAGCGTTAATAGAGTTACTGTCCATATGGCTATTACATCAAATTAGTTACAAAATAACCCCAAAACACATTATCAGTTCAGTCAAGTATAAATAAGAACGCCTGATAGAATGATGTAAACTCGCATCATTTAAAGACTTAATTCAAAGAACTTCAAACCCAATCTAATACTATCAAAAGATCAGCCGGTATGACGAAGACTAATAGAAAATTATTGCTGGAGTCCAATTTGGTAAATTGTTGTGCTACAATGCAAGAAGTAGGGAAACATCTTGTGCTATAGAAGAAGTACCCTGTTGAATTTGTAGCTTTAGATCAATTACTAGTGATCATTTTGCATCTGTTGGTAGGAATCAATGCTTAGTTATACAATAGTGTAAGTCAAGATAGCAAAGATAACAGGCCAAGTGATACACTTGGCCTGCTTTTGGGATGTATTTATGAGAGTAAAACACAAAAATTCAACATAAGCAAAGACAGAAACTGGCAGATGGATCTGTTTGGTAGTCTGAATTCAGTCAAACATTACTCTTCAGCTGTAGTTTATCTGTATACAACTTGCCATTTTACCAACACAAACTATAATTGGCCTTTTACGCAAACTCTGAAGCCGATTTGGACTGTGCATAGTAACTACAACAGCGCCAGTGTCTGTAAAATGTAAAAGGTATGTGTATCGGTGCACAGGTATATCGAAAAGTCACGGTTTTAGGTTTTTCATAACGGTGAAATAATACTAAGGTCACTTTTGAAAAACGCATTTGCAGTACTTTTTGTTTACAGGAAAGTTTCACCAAGTCACTCAGATATCTATGCGAAAATAAAGAGACCCTCCAAGGCATGACAGACAAGTCAATTAACTGCAGTATTTTCCATACACCACTCCTTTTTCTAATGCACATCATCCTGGTTATTCAAAGCAAGATTAAAAAGAAACAAACCCAAACATAGCCTGTCAGAATTTTTGCCCGTAAACCACTCTGGTGGCAAATATAAAAGTGCAGAACATCTGGACCACATGGCTGCCCAAACACCGCTAACAATGGTACATCTGTCCAGGCTGCCTTGAGTTCTCTGGAACAGGTTTTAAATTCATTCTACAATATAAACGTAGGCATAACTATTAATATAAACCATCTTAGAACTTAAATCTTCATGTACAAAAATGACTAAGAATATCTAATAATAACTAGTGCAGTGCTTCAGTGTTTGTTTTTTTTTTTTTATTTTCATTTAGAATAACTAGGTATTATACGAAACTAGTTGCCGTACTCTCTGGTTGGTAAAAGAGACGCTGTGTGAGCTAACAGTAAAGGCAGCCTTTTTCACACCAACCACCTATTTACTGTTTAAAAGCCTTCAATAGAAAGCAAGTTCTGGGGTCATTCCATTTCTGTTCATCAATAGACAATTAATATCACCCTCCTACTACTGGGTTCCAATTTGAGGACCTGGCCCAAGTTGCTAACGTTTGGCTTCCAGTGAATTCTGGGCCACTCAGAGCAATAAACACTTGCTTGCAGTCTATAGTTTCCATCATATGGACTGACTAGCTTCCCTTGGTAAAGACAAGGCTAGGATATTAGGTAAAGCACAACGTTTTACAATAAAGTGGAGCTTCACTGGTCAGCGCAGGAAATAAGCACTGGAGCCTGAGACATTTCATTTGGCTGTCCGTCATGTGGCAGAGGCGTGGCCCTCTGACTTCTGCAAAAGAAGAAAAGAAAAGCCACAGATCATTATTTGGAGTACGAGAGGTGCTTTTATCAGACCAAAGAGGATGGAAAGCAGCACACGACAGCGTTTAACAACGGACAGTGCAGCACCGTAACTCCCTGCTACTACAGATGCCCACATACCACCGTTACACACTCTTTTTTAGAGGTATTCCTGCAACAGTAACATGATACCCTGAGGACAATCTGCAACACAAAGCAGTCAGGCCAAACCAAGGCGTAATGGTATGTGAGTACACAAAGCAAAGCGCAGCTGAAAAGTAAGTTAAGAGTGCACAAGTGCTGTTGCTCATTTTGTAAGGGAGTGGCTTCAGCCCTCAGAACCACAGAGTACAGCTCAGGTGTGGCAAAAGAACGTAAATGGACAAACACATGTATCATGTTAATGTGAGTCAATATCCAGCTTTTAAGCAATATGGAAATACACTCATCAGCAGAGATGCGCATTTGGATTACTCCAAGTTTCATGACTTAACAGTTCATCAGCCCAGCACAACATCTCTCGTTACTACGGCAGTGTTAATTTACAAATGATCCCCTGGCACAGGGTATCATAAAAATAAACTGCGTCAGAATTATGTGCTGGAAATCAACATCAATCACTGTAGCAGATGGACTTGGGAGAGCTCCTCTGGAGCTTGCCTTTTAAAATACATACACAAAGCACGTCACCGCCTGTTATCTAATCTCACAAGTCAGGTTCTATTTTTGTTACAGTACGTGTCATTTGCAGCAACAAAAATCTGGAGCCCGCTTCTTGCTAACACAAGGGCCACTTTACCTCACTGCGGCACAGCTAAGTTCGCAGCAGAAACGGAGGTACCAACGTGCGCCGCACTACCGGAGCACAACGAAGCAGCCTTGGCACAAAAAGTGGCTCAGGTTCACAGCGCTTCACCGGGGCTCGCACAAGGTAAATAAAGCGAAACAGCAGCCTTCAAATGAAAACCACGCTGCCACTTCCAGACATGCTCTAGTTACAGCTAAAAAGCAGTTTGGCTTCCATGGCCCAAGGCTCTGTAAAATTATTTAATAATTAAATTCAGACACTGAAGAAACACATCAAGCAAACCTCTAATGTTCTTCTCATTTCCGGCTATTTGCAGATAAAGAAGTGAGTTGCAAAAGGTAACAAACAGTCAACAGAGTAGAAAATCGAGAAGCATCTAGCCTATCCAATTTAGGTTTCTGGTTTGACCTCCGTTTGCCAAGCCTGTGAGAGACACTGCTAAGTTTCTGTTGGAAAGAGTCCTCCCCCTGTTGTCATTCCCCCCCACCCCCCAGGGTGATTACAAGCTGGAACTTGCAACAGTTTCTGGACATTTGCTGCTTTGAGGACTCATGCAAGGTGCTGCATTGCTCCAGCGGCACAATGAGATGATGAAAGGTGGGAGTAAGACTTCTGTTTGCATCTTTCTTTCTATGTAAAACATTAGCGCACTTCAACGAGAGGGACAAGAGGACAAGAACTCTTAGCGGAACAAAGAGGGGAAAACCATAGCAAAGTGAATCCTGCTGCTCTTGTGCATTTCTGGTCAGTGTTAATGGAAATCAATGAAACCACAAGGGTGTGAGAGAGAGCAGAGCTTAGCACAGCACAGAAACGAGTTCAGATTTTGATGTCTTGATGGTAAACACTTGTTCTGCAATGCTGGGAGGAAAGGCCAGGCTGACTGCAGCGTGAAAACACTTCTCACCTACAACAATGTTGATAAAGCAAGACAACAGCTTCTGCAGAGAAGAGCTAGCAGGCTGGGTTCAGCTGACTTTGTTTCTTGTAGGGCCCCATAGCTTCTAAAAAGCTTTTCTATGTTTGATGCACAGCCTGAACACACAGGACTGGGTTGGCTGATGGGGGCCACGAGATCAGCAGTAAACTGAGGCTGTGAATGGTTTCATCAGCTGCTGCCTTGTGGAGTTTCTCAGACAGCCAGCAATCTGTCAAATGCCATTTGCAGAGGCTGTGATGGTTTCAAACTGGCCCAGCACTTCCTCACTGACTTTCCAATGCAGGAAAGGATGTGATTACACCTCCAAAAAGCTGCAGTATCAAAGAATAACACTGGATAATTAAGAGCCAAGGAGTACCTGCTGTCATTAGCTTCCTCCCATCACAGGTCTAGCATGCAGTATCTGACCATGCTGAACTGATCCAACAGCCCTAAGTAACCTGCACTTTCTCCACCTTTTCTGTGTGGAGGGTCTACTCAGCAACTGAGAAGACCAACCCAAACTAATGTGGCTTTCCATCATCCAGAGTTGTTCTGCCCCATACCATTCTGCTGAGGCTTTGCATCCTACACAGCAAAGCACAAGAGTAAAAATAGCAAGTTAGCTTCCTTCAGCCACATTCAGCATAAAAACTTCAGCTGAATTTATATGATATTCTCTCCGCAGTCTTAGCCCATTGAAAAACACAAATCAGCATGCAATAGCTATTTAAATCTGCTATTATCTGACAAATGGCATTGGATAATTAGAAACAGTCAATCATTACGATCTCAAGGAGCATATGAACCTGTTCATATACAAAAATTGGTAGGTAAGCTTACCAGGGAGGATCATTTTACTGGCTACTGAAATAGATTACATTGTCATTCAGGTGGAGACTTCACACTACTAAGCAAGTGGTGTAAAACAGACATTCACAGAAAACTGTGGAAGAGGCAACACAGGCCAAATTGAACAGTCTGCAATTCACATGCTTTCTGCACAAGTTGGCAGCCACATACTATTTACTTAGACAACAAGGGCAAAAGAAAACCGTACCTGTGTACATTTTCCATGGCTGCTACTTCTGCCAGAGCAGCCAAGCTAAAAAATGCAGACACCGCTGGCATATCTGATGTAATACCAGGATTTTCTTCTGCCTCTGCGTTTCTGGAGCATTCACTGTTGCAATCTGTTTCTGCACTTGATGTTTTTTGAAGAGTATTTTGTGGCAGTTCTTTTGGCTTCTCCTCTGCAGTAAAAGAAAGTTAAGCTTGCAAATCTAGCCCTTAAATTCACAGTAGCCCACCGACACACTGACTAGTCTAGTGTTAACAGAATCTTTACCTTTAGGAGTCTGATTCATACTGCAACCTCTTCTGACCCAAGCTATTGGCAGAAGCAGTACTAAGGTTTATGAAGCAGTTTACTGATTTTGCGTTCAACTGAGTTTGATCTTTTAGGTCAGGCAAGAGAGCTTTTGTGTACGTTTTAGATGCAGAAGTCCTGGAAGATTATCTCAGCTGCAGAGGACTCGTGCAAGGACTGCAGCATTGACTGTCATATTACAGAATTCATTTCTACATTCTGTAACTAGATGCAGTGTAGTTTCTTCACTGGACTTAACCATTTTCCATTTCTCTCTGTATCAGGTCTCAGTTCTTAGAGAGAAGTATCCAGGGAGAGAAGACAGATTTGGGCATTCAGACAGAAGAAGTTGACCATTATGGACTCACTGATTTCCCAGTTCATTGAAATCTGTATTTTAAAGAATGACCTTTCTAAGCAGTTATGAAACCAAGCTAACTGAAAAATACTTCCCTGATAGGTTGCTTGTACTTCTAAACCTTCTCCAATCATGCAGCTTTGACAAAATTTTAATTCCAGTTTCCTTACCCAGCGTCCCTCCTGCTGGTGACACTCGACCATCTGCTGTTCGGACGAGATGGGTGATCTTAGTTTTCCTTGCTTTCCTTTTCTGGCTGCCAACTAAAGGTTCATGCATCATTGCTGGCTCTGGAGTGTTTAGGGCAGATATAGAAATTTTATTCTTCCAGGCAGACTCACTAGAATTTCTGTCTTCTGAGAATATGGCTGAAAGAGGACAAAAATACAGTTTTACATTTAGAATAATTTGGCTACTAGCTATGCTCATTTACCATTTGGCATCTATCTGCAAGAAGCCTTCCCTCACAGGTACTCAGAGCACAACTCATGGCAACATACGATCTGAATGCTGCAGATATTTGCAGTGGAATAGTAGCCTCAGCTCTTAAAGATACCCTAGAAGGCTCAAGTTTCTGATATTTGCAAAGGAAACTGTGATATGGGCAGCAGCACTTCAGTGGGAGCAGGGTATCAAAGAGTCTGTATAAAACACTCTGCAACAGAAGATGTCAGCGAGCAGTTAAGAGACAAAATGTATTTAAGGAACAACTAATGGTCCTCATATAAGCTTATCTTAGATCACAGACGAACTCACAAGCAGAATTGAGGAATTTCTTACTAATCCCCTGTCCTCCCTCTACAGTCACTCTACACCATCTCCTCTAAGCAAAGGGAAATACTCCTTTTTAGAAAACAACAAACCTTAAAAAAACACCAAAAGGCAGCAAATACAAAAGCAGAGCTAGATCACAGTTGAAGACAAGAATGCTGAAAAAAGAAAGCAAGCACGGGATAAAATACCATGATGGAAATACCGCCTACATAAAGTCAGAGAGTGAGAAAGGAACAGTCTGAATCTTTCCCAACACTACCAGTGTTGGCATTTTGAAGTAGCCTTCTGCCCTGAACTGGAACATGATCACAAATTTTCACTTGACTGAACAGTTACGTTAATCTTGTTCATGAAGAAATTGGTCAGACAGCAATCACAAAATGTATTTAAGCTTCCAAACTCTAAGATCAGTGCATAGTCATCAAGCATTTGTAATTTCCATTGATTTAATAAGCCATACTGCTGATACTATAGGGTATCACTAGTCCTATAGGGTATCACTAGTCCACAGATTCAATCTGTGACATCTTTTCCTCCTGTAACAGAAGTATTGAGGTCTATCCCATCTGCAGTCACTGTAAGCTAGGGTTAGAAAGAGACTATAGGTAGGAAAGGGAATGCCCAAGTTATTTCTTACAGATGGTTGTCTAACCTGTTTCGAAATTGGGAGCACTCACAGCACCTGCACCAAGTCCTTGGGGTATTTTTCCCAGTGCACTGCCATCCTGGATGATTACGTACTTTTTCCTAATCTCATTTCCCCTGCTGCATTTTCAACTCTATTTTCTTTACTACGTGTCAGGTTACACCCCATCTCTTTGCAACAGTCCTTTACATATTTCACAGCTGTTACTACATCTACAAGTTAAGCTTTCTCTTCCCCACAACTTCTTTCAATCTCTCTTCCCGTTTTAAAGATATGCTTAAGACCCATTTGTTCCCTTTCTGGGTGGCAGGATCAGCAAAAATTACACACACAAAACTCAGGCTGGAGTGGAAACAACTGCTCTTTCAGAAGGGCTCAGCACTGAACAAGACCAACGCCCTACACCAAGACTAGTTGCGTTATACAGGAGCACCTAACCCCACAAACCATGCACAATTGCGAAGCAGTCTGCATGGACTTTGCCCTCTTACATTTTAGCGTGTATTTATTTTTTATTTATTGATTGTTTTGTAGATTTAATGAGCTTCCCATTCAAAGAGAAGGCTAAAACCTCTATCTTTTCCTAGCTTCTTTACCTTTTAACTGTGAGAGGATGTGGACCGGGTGAAGACAAAAGCTGTAACACATCTTGTTAGCTGTCGCCCTTTGCTCTTTTAAGTGGCAAAGGATCTTCTAATGTTTGACAGTATAAGAATACAATCAGATGTAGTACATATGTTCTAAACCTTCATTCGTTTATGTTCTTAATTCACCTTCGTATCTGCTGTTGTGAAACATTTTTGAACTTGTGCATGCTCTTTGAAAAAGAGCACACATTTTCAATTAGCTTTTTTCGGTGTTTAGCTATAGCTGCTAAACTTTACAGAGCACAGCTATACTGTAAAACTTGTTTTTTGTAAAGAGAGCAACAGAAATCACAAGAAAAGATCTGCCTCGTAAGAGTCCAATTAAGTAGAAGAGTCAATGACTGCAGATGTGACTTTCAAGTAACTCAACTGGGCTAACTGAGATGTTCAGATAAGCTTACTACGCTGACTGTGGCCAAAATCTTAATTGAAATATGTATTTAAATGGGCAGGTTTCTCTCATGATTTCTTATTTGGGAATTTATAAGCATTGATTATGTATTAATGTAATGCTTTGGTTGTAGTCCAACACTATTTGTTAATTCTGATCTGGGGATTTACTCCAATTAGATAGTAGTTTGACAGTGCTGTTTAATTATAGTTTGAGTTCATTATGACTTTAGTCTTAGAAATACGAGTCACTTTTTTTTTTTACATTGAATAAAAATATTAAGACATGATTTCAAACAATAAACAACGTATGCTAGAAAGAAACCTGATGTGCTATGTTTTTAATTAGATGTGTTGTCTATTACAAGCCATGTCAGGTCACCAGAAATTAACTTGATTGGTCAATATGGTATGTATCGGGGTGGAGGGTGGATGTTGAGGGGAAGAATGACTTTTTTCTTCTCTAGCAGTCATAGTGGACAGTGGGCTAAGCAATCATTTCATTGACTTCTTTACAGATTCAAGCAGACAAAACGTAACCTGGAGGAAATCACACAAAGACTTCACTCACAAGACTCTCTGCACCAAACTCCAGAGGAGAAAGGAGTCCATGCTTCAACAAACGTATAGCTAGGCTAGGTGCTAACAGGGGTCCTCCTGCACCTCCTTCAAGAGGAACAGCACCCCACTGCTTTAGCTGGCAAAGGTATACTTCACAAATTCTCCAAACCAGGACTTGGTTTTGCTGTGCAGAAAGCACAGGGCTAAACAAGTTTAATTCCCTGTATTTTTCTTTAGTAATTTCTTGAATTCATTTCATGTTCCTTCTGTTTCTACACAGTCCTGTGGTCAAGAGCTGCCCCATGTAGGGCTCAGCTAGAGCCGTCTAGAAACAAAATGCGGCTCTGCAGCTACTGTGCAGTCCTGCAAACAGGTATTTACATGGTTAGCTTTCCACATGACAGTAGCACATGCGGAACTACAGGGCTATTTCTGCAAGCAGAGTTGAGCTCATGATACGAAGATGTGGGCCTTTTGGCGTGCTTACACCACAGTGACAAAAACGACTGTGAGAGAAAAACATCTAGACCGCTATACCAGATGGTTTCCTGAGCTAGATTTGTTAAAAGTTAGCACGGGCAGTTTACCCTATTCTGCAAGCACACAGAGTACATGTAGTCCTATGTCCCCCCATCTTTGCAAACAAGAAAAATGAAGTCAATTGGACTGACTCAGCACACCCCACAAGAGGACAAGCTTTTCAGACTGAACCAAGACACAGATTTAAAAGAATTTCTTCAGTGATGCCTATCTGTTATGAGAGAGCGCTGCAGAAGTTTAACCACATTTAGTGGAGAATGAAGGCTCTGTGGGTCTAAGCACGCCGGTATCAAGCAGGAAAGGCGGGCTGTAATGCTTTAATGGTCTTTATGATGTTAAAAATGGGAAGCTTAGCAAGGCCAGAGCAAAGCTACCAGGCACCAGTGCCTGGGGAACCACTTCACCAAGGAAGTGATGCCAAGCACACTCTGACCTATACCCCCGCTGAAATTTCAGCTCTTCTGGCAAGGGGATGCTGCTGCAATACCACTTGTGGGGTCACATGGAGCTGCAGCAAGGGCTGGGGACCAATAAGCAGAGAGACACCAGCTGACGAAGCATCAGACGGTCAAGCCAGGTGTACAGAACAGCTGCCGGCATGGGAAGCTCTGCTGCATGAGATTCTGCTAATTTTCTGCACTTTCTGTTCTTTCTCAAACATATGTGCTAAGGCTGTACAGACTGATGTGCGTGTGGGAGAACTGGTGGAGAACCAGTAGCAGGCAGTTAGCTCTACTAGCCACAGGAGACAGGGCTCCCTCACACATCAGCTAGTGTTGAGACTGATGTATATGTTCATCTTCTCTTCTGCCCTTCTGGTGCAAAGGCCAGCATTGCATCTAGTTGTTACTCAAACCATGCAAGAGCCCTCAGCACAGCTCACTAAATGTACCTGCAAAGAGTCACCGGTTGTGACTTACCCCTTGATCGCTTCCCACCAGAAAGCCTTGACAGTGTGGCACAAAATAAATCTCTCAGCCGAGTGGTGTTCAACCTCCCTAAACAGGGCTGGGTCCAGCTGTGCTTCTGTCAGCCTTCCTAAGCAAGTGACGTATCTCAACATCTTCAGGTGCATTACTGTGCGCTCTCTACTAGGAGGACCAGGGGTTGTGGCATGTGCACTGGTATTTTACTGGCTGCATCTATCTCTATAAACACCTGCAAACTTGTAATACGGTGATTTGCACTGGCGATGCTGAGTACCATGTGGTCACATGGAGTGAAAATTCACTCAGATACTTAAACCCGAGACAGACCCAGACAACATGATCCAATCATGTCAAAATTTGCCTTTACTGCACTTACTTTTCTTCATCCAAAACAGATGCACACAGGCACACACACTTTTCAAGATGACAAAACATTAATCCAGCATGACCTCTGCTGACAGCAACCCTTCCAAGTGTCTTCTCTCCAGCTATAATAATATTCAAGCTCCTTCCTCCAGTAAAATTAACTCCATAAAAACCAAACTCACACATTATAGACTTCTGACTCACCAGAAGTATAGACTAGCCACAAAAAGGAGTTGAAATTTTCATTTAGGGTTTGATTCACTAAATCCTTATATATTTGAATTGAAATGAAGATGCTTGGATTCCACTGCAGAATATGGGACAGTGGAGTTGAAAAGTTTAGCACCCTGCTGCCTAGCAACTCACGAAAGGATCAATCAAAGAATCACAGAATCATTAAGGTTGGAAAAGGCCTCTTAAGATCAAGTCCAACCATCAACCCAGCACCACCATTCCTACTAAACCACATCCTGAAGTGCCACATCTACACATTTTTTAACTACCTCAAGGGATGGTGACTCAACCACCTCCCTGGGCAGCCTATTCCAACGTCTGACCACTCTTTGATCAAACTTGAGGCCATTGCTTCTTGTCCTATCACTAGTTACTTGGGAGAAGAGTACAGTACACCTGCCTCACTGCAGCCTCCTTTCAGGTAGTTGTAGAGAGCAAGAAGGTCCCCCCTCAGCCTCCTCCTCTCCAGACTAAACAGCCCCAGCTCCCTCAGCCGCACCTCATCAGACTTGTTCTCCAGACCCTTCACCAGCCTCGTTGCCCTTCTCTGGACATGCTCCACCACCTCAATGTCCTTCTGGTAGTGAGGGGCCCAAAACTGAACACAGTACTCCAGGTGAGGCCTCACCAGTGCTGAGTGCAGGGGCACGATCACCTCCCTGCTCCTGCTGGCCAGACTGTTCCTGATAGAAGCCAGGATGCCATTGGCCTTCTTGGCCACCTGGGCACACTGCCGGCTCATGTTCAGCCGGCTGTCAATCAGCACCCCAATGCTGAAGTTACGCAGACAAGGCCGTACACTGCCTGCCAAGGCCATACCCACACTGCACTTTGCTTTCAGTGACACTACATGGTACACTTAGGAGGCAAGACCCCAGATTTTCTCCCCTTTGTAACTCAGAGAAAATGTATTTTCCCACCAATATATACATCTCTTGTCTTTCCTTTGATGTTTTCTATGTGGGCTGTGTAAGACTGGTAAGTTCCTCCTGTCTTTGCTTCAGTCTTGGGAGGAACTTAGCAAACTGGCCCTACTCCAGCAAATGCACAGACACATCCTTAATGTTTGGACATGATGACATTATTCACATGCTTAACTTCCAAGGACATGCCTCTGTGTTGTGCTGGAATGAGGCCAGGGTACGCAACACTTGCCAGGCTTGAATCTTTGATCATAGCGCACGCTTCACTTTGTATCAAAACAGGCTGGTTTCTTTTAATAAAATGGAGGTTTTGACATTTTGCTTAGCCACATTTTACATCTGCAGATTTTAAGAGATTTTTGGTTTTTACTCTATCATGTATTAAAAATCTTTCTTTTCCCACAGGACAATTTAAACACACATTTTTCTTACTGATTTGTCGACATGGTCTATGAATAATTCAGGAAAAAAAAATCTGAATGGCACCCAATAAAAAGCTATGTTCCTGTATGATGCCTTTTTCACACGGTCATGGAAGCAAGATAGTTACTTCTCATAAGCGACTCCCACAACGTGTTTGTTGTACCAATACAATGAAACAGAGCAAGTAATTTCAAACTATTTGCACCACTGAATGCAGCAGAGCTGGCAGAGCCTAGGTGGGAAAACAGTGCACACACACCAGAGAGAACAGAAAACATAGCATCATGGAAGGAGAGGAAATGACATGGCCAAGCCTTAGGAACTAAGCAGAAAGGTAGCTGGAGGAACTGGAGATGGGAATAGTCATTTTGTTATCTTAGAGATGAATAGGGATGGGGAAAAATTGGAAGAAATTCATGGAGCTACCCAAGTAAGCAGAACCAGAGAGGCTCTTCCACACCACAGTGATGATGCGGGAGAGAACTCCACTGTGGCAGGGCGAAGGAATAGCCTGGGTGTGATTTGGATAGTGTGGGCAACATGACTACCAAAAAAAAAGGGGGGGGGGGGCAGGGAAGCAGGCTAAGCTATAATCCTGTATATGCTGTGCACTTCAAAATGCCCCTCAGAGTTGTGAGTATGTAGGTAAGCAGGACCACAATACTGTAACAAGAAACAGACCTTGCAGAGGTACATGCAAGGTAGCGGACAGATAAAGTCCAGGACATAACATAAATTGTCAAAGTTATCTTCAATCTGAGGCAAACAGAAAGCTAGTTAAGATTTCTGCAGAGGAAGGGTTGGTTTAGGTTAGTATTTCTGAGATCTGGTGCAGAAAAAAGCTCTTACACCCTGACCAGCTGCAATCTGCAAAGTTCTACACAGCAGGAAATCACAGTGAGAGGAGAAATGCTCTGGCAAAGGGATAAATAATATGCTCTCTGATTACAGAAGGGACAGAGATAAGATCAAGCAAAGGACTAAAAAGCTGTGAGCTGTGGAAGACAGAGTTCAGGGCCAACAGCAGACTTGCCCTTGCTTTGTCAGGTCTGCTGCATGGCATCTGGAGCAGTGAAACTAATTAAGGGAGATTCCAATTAAAAACAAAACAGCATCATACTGCAATAAGGTAATATGATAAACTGGAGCCAGGAGCTAATGGAATCAGAGCAGACAGGGAAATAAGGGACCAAACCAATCAAAGACTACAGAGCTGAGTAGCCTCTGTCTTAGAAGCACTTCCCCAAGACTGAATCAAGAGAAGGCAGCCCAAAATCTTAACTAAGTAATGCACCAGTACCTGTGTCCGGAACATTAAGCTTCTTTCTGTGCTTAAATTTGCTGACAATTTTGTGGAATAAGTTCTTTTTCTGAGACTGGAATGAACCTACAGACAACATTAATAACACATACTTTTAATTAGCAGTTTTAAAAAGAGTACAACAGTCACAGTATGTACTATACAACCTCCCCTTCCACTAATACCATGCCATTTCATGGGGAGCCTCAAAACCCGATCTTCTGCCACAATGGCTCTCGAGGCTTTCAGCAGGCTGTACTTCAACCCATCAGCTCCCAAAGCTTACGCACATACAAAGCATTTCAGAGAATGATGACCTTAGGAAAACTTAGCCATACAACAAAATAATGGTTTTGCTTGCTTGTTTAAAGATACGCTCTCTTTTGGATGTGTACTGGGTTTGGCTGGAATGGAGTAAACTTTTCTCTTAGCAGCCTGGATGGTGCTGTGTTTTAGACCAGTGACCAAAACACTGTTGGTAACAAACCAGTGTTTTAGTTACTACTAAACAGTGTTTATAGAGCGTGAAGATCGATCTCTCTTTCTCACTCTGCCACCCCAGCAAGTAGGCTGAGGGTACGCAAGAGGCTGGGAGAGGACATAGTCGGGACAGCTAACCCACACCGACCAAGAGGTATTTCATACCATGTAATGTCATGCTCAGCAACAGAGCTGGGGAGAGGTTTTTCTCCAAAGTAGTTATTGCTCAGGGACTGACTGGGCATCAGTTTTCTGGTGGTGAGTGCTAGCTTTTGCATCATTTGTTTCCCCCCCTGCCCCTTCACCTACGAAACTGTCTTCAGCCCTGAGTTTTTTTTCTTGCCTTTGCCCTTCCAGTTGTCTCCCCATCCCATGAGGGAGAGTGAGCAATTGACAGGGCAGCACTTACCTGTCAGCCAGGGCCAACCCACCACAGGAGGCAAGAGTTACCTTTGCCTTTCTGGTGACCAGAAATGAGTTTACACTAAGTGCAGAAGTAAAACCTCCCAGGAGAGGAAGCTGAGGTTATGCGCAGCTCATGGTTTCATTCCTACTTTGATAGCAGTCTCTTTACTAGTAATAGTCAGAAGACATCTTATGTGACATCAGACCACAAAGTATGCCACTAGCGGAGGTCATCAAGAAGCTATTCTTTGTCTCATTAACGGAGTAAACAGTGATACAACAGCAACACAGACATAACAGACCAAAGACATCACAGGTGCATAACCTCTACACTGCAAAGCCATTTTTATCGAGTTACTTCTCAGAAACCGCATTTTAAAATTTTTTTTTCCAACGATACAGCAAGCAAGAAAATCTTCAGGCTAACTCAGAACAGACTGGCCCAAACAGAAGTGAGACGCACTGCAGGTGACAAGATGGCTTATAGTCTAACAAAAGGGTGTCCTTCCCATCTGTAGCTGACTTGGAACAGGATTCTACCCGCCACAACTACTGGCCTCCTCCACTCCTCCTCATCCTTAAAAGGAACCAGACACAGACACTGGCTACTGAGACAACTGCAACCATGCAGCAACATGCGACTGAGGTAAGTCTACATCGTGCATCTTCAATTTGACACCACTGACTCTCTATATGCAGGGAAAGGAGGAGAAAAGTGTGTAGCACATGGAAGAAGGATCTAGTCTTAGAACTGGAAAACCATTCACAGGCACTAGGCTGTTTGAATAACACTGAAAATTACTGAAAGCTAAAATCCAGCCAGAAACAGGGGTAGAAACGCTATGATTTTGTACATGTTGGCTTTGTGTCTCACTGCTGTTTTTTACTACTGAAGAAATCAAAACTTTGGGAAAAGATTAATAATTTCCCCAAAATCTAGAAGTCAAACAACACACCAAATAAAGTCCAAGTGAGACACCATCTTAGGCAACATCAGCTTGAATCTGAATAGCTTCACTAGAACTTGTGCAAAAAATATCAGGAAGTTCAATAGAAGAGGCCATATTCACATACAAACTGTCTAGTAATTACTGAACAGACTACGTGGTGGTTCTTTGAAAATGGCCACATCCCATCCTGCCTTTAGATTAAGGCCTAAGCCAATGAACTGCCAAATACAGGACCTCTGCACGGCATATTCAATTATGAAAACGAGTTTTCTTTTAACAGAAATTAACCAAACCAATATGGAGAAGGCAAAACACAGTCTGGACCAGACAGGACATCTGCGTGTAGGAAAGGCTGAACAAGGGGCTATTCCTGAGACCATGTGCCAGTTTTGGCTGGGATAAAGTTAATAGCCCTTTTCAGGCTCCCACTAGCATGTGCCCCAAGGGCACAGTTTAGGCACACTCACCCACGCAGGAGTTTGCAGGAGAGCTGGCTATGCTACTCCTGTTTCATGGGGACAGCAGGCAAGAAGTCCTAGACTTCAAACAAATGCGACTTGTCAACATTCAACAGACAAAATCTGTGACTGGAAAAACCTAATTAACCTAAAAGGCTTGCTGTTAGGCAGTGGACTGTGGATGCGATTTCCTACAGAAAGTTGACATTCAGCAGTTGCCACAGGATTTCACCACCTGCTAATCCCTGGCTTGTCCATTGTGGTCACTGAGGGCGGGAGGGATTTCCTCCTGGGAATACTCGCTATGGCCAATGGCAGCTGCTCGGGGGAGCAGCAGGCAAGAAACTGAATCCATCATACGTGACAAACCATAACTGCATTTCCTCCACATTGCTGGGCGTACGCCCCCTCTGCTCTCACAAAGCTCCCTATTTTAAAGGGCCTGATCAAAGAGAACACTTCAACCTGACTGTAAGAAAACCAGGACAAACAGATTTGTCTGTGCATTTCCGCATCTCTTGAGGAAGATACTGTATTTTTTTGTCACTATCTTTGGAATATTACAACATGCGATTCCAGGCATCTGAATGCTTTGAACTGAGCCAAAAAAACCCCTCAGCTAAGACCGAGAGGAATGCCACAAAGAAGTATCCATTTTAAGCTGATGCTTTAGTTCTAGTCCTAGGGCCACAGACAAAAAAAGCTGTAGACAATCCCTTTCTCAAAGAAGGGCACACTATGTATTCCTCTCCTTGCCTTCGCAACGTGAACACTTCAGTGAAGTGCTTTCTGTGTAAGTGAGCATTTCTTCACAGCACAAGGCTGAAATAATGACTATGCCTGTTGCTCATTTTTGCATACAAGCGGATTAGTGACTCACTGCAGACTGCTGACTTCTGTGTGGTGGGATGTTTTGGCACATATGCCATTGGAAAGAAGGAAAAAAGAAAGAAATCAGTCACAGCTTCAGCAAATGTCGGAGCAGGCCATCTGCACAGATTCAGTATAGCTGTATTTTTCAGCCATTTTGTGACATTGTTATCGTATATGCACACTGCCTGTTCAAAATGATCGAGGTAGAATTTGTCAAAGCG